TCATTTTTGGTCCTGAGACCATAACAAAATCTGGAGACAAGCCTTTCCCATGATTCCTTAGTGTAATCTTCGCTCTTAATCAATTTAACAATAAGTAAAAACCATCTTTGGAGGAAACTCCTTGCCAATTGATTGACAGCGGTTAATTCCATAGTGATAGTTTATTCGCGAAATTGATATAGATTTCATGTAAAACGTGGATTATACACGACTTCAAATTATTTTTTCTGATTATTCATTTTTACGGAAATTCGATGAATTTAACTTAAGGCTCGTAAGTACATAAAAATCAAAAAAAATTCATTTCATTTTTGAAAAATATTTTTTCCTCATTTTCATAGCATTTTTTAAATTTCAAGATGTTTATTTTTTACTGCGTTTCAGCCGTTTCCGTGAGCCTTTTCGTACATTTTGCATGCAATGTTAAATTTTACGATACAAGTGCCATGAGTAACACTTTTTAGCTCGGCGTAGTTACAATAAGTGAAGTGCATTTTCGAAAAATAAAAAACGCCAGAAAGCGCAAAATAAGAAAAAATTTTAACATACAAATTATACAAAAAAGGTTCACAGAAATATAGTAAAAATAAACATCTTGAAATTTAAAAAATCTGATGACAGGCTCGACGAATTTTAACATACCCCATATACATTGATCAATAAATTAAAAAAAAAACAATACTTTGCATTGGTTTATGTTAGATTTTGATAAAGAAATTTCTTTAGTTTGGATACACCTTTAAACAATCAGTTTTTTCAGTAATTGTTAGTGTTGCGCTCAAATATTATTGGTAGCTCGATATTGTCTTAAACCCATTAATGATATGTATATGGATTTAAAGAACAAAAAATTTCCAAGAAATCAAATAAAATCGTCTCGATACTATCAACATAGACGAAAATAAGTATTTGAAAATTAACAAAATTTTGATGAAAATTTTTGTTGTGATAATTTTGTTGCGCAGTGTATAACGGAGGCTGAAGTATTACTGAAAATAGTACTTTCCAAAAAACTAGCAAGAGTACTCGTAAAAAGTAGTGCTTTCATACATTTTGCTTACTGATTAATTTATTTACTAAGCTGGAATTTTGTGTCGACAAAGAGGACACTCAAAGAGATTACAATCGAAATAGTTAAAAATTCGCAAATATCGCGAGACACTTTTCTAATTAGACATACGCTTTTTTTAAACGAATAAAGTGGAAAAATAATGTATTGTACGCTCATTTAAGTATCATACGAATGAATCGATTTAATTCGTTTTTTTTTATATCTGACAGATGGAACATTTCGTGTATTTTTAATAGCTACTCTCTTGGTAGCTACATTTAAACATGATGATCTAATCAGTAAAAGAAGTAGCTTATTTAATAATGAAAAATTGCATTAACGTGCGTAGAAATACATTATTTCCATTTTACTCTAAATTATGTAGGCTAAGGCATATGAACGCTGAATTTCAGTGAAATCAGACATATACTTATATGTACTTATGTATAGGTAAATACGGTGTATAAAACGTGAGTTCAGAGCTAAACATAAAAAGAGCGAATACGCATAGCGAGTGCAAGAGAGACGGAGCTACGTGACGCTACATGAATGCTGCGAAATCATGGACACTGGATTATCAACCTCTATGTTTCTTGAACTGTTTCATAGCCCCGTTCCCACCTCGGATTCTAATAATATTTGAGCAAACTTATGTTAAATATTTAAAAGTCAATGATCCCATACCATATGGATTATCCTGGTTTTCTAAGGGTTAATAAACATGAACTGCAGTCGCTTTTATCAATGATTAACATACCCGCGCCTTTTTCTTCGTTTTCGTTTTATGGACGTTGTGCAGCGCCCCCATACTACCAACATTCACATCGCATGCAGGCGCAGCGCCCCCCAACATACACATGGCAAGCGACAGCAGACAGGTGTTCTCTATTGTACTAGGATTCCAGGAACGAATAATTGACTGGTTTTTTGGTTCAATTTTAATATCAAGCGTTTAATTAGAAGCACATCATCTCTAGAGTTAATAATTAATAGTTTGTTGATCATAATTCATTTTATACAAATGCGTTAGATCTTAAGAATCTGTATACGTTTACGTCTGGGAATCATAAAGACCCATTTTTCAGAGATGATGCACATCAAAGATTAAGCAGCACGTTAGAATCTCTTTGAAAATTATGTCTGACTAGTGGCATCATCGAAACTTGAGTTCAGCTGCATTTTGAAACGCCATTGAACAAAGAATCGTCAAGAGATTTAGGTTATGCTTATTTTCGAAACGAAGAATAAAAAAAAACCCAGATTCAGTGTATATTTTAGTCTTGGGAGAGAATTATCAACATATCATTAAATCTTTTTTTTGAAGAAAAACGGAAGACCTGACAGATATGAACGATTTAAATGGTATCTACTCGCAAGTGAAGCGTATGTCTATTGAGGTATGTGTATATTTTTCTCAATTATTATTTGGTCTATCATAAGCAAACTTATTTTATGCAGGATTTGGAAAACTTTTGCATTCAGGCAATTTCTGAATGTATAAGTGCTCACAATGAAATTCAAGAATTACACAGCTTAACTTTAGCTACGAAAAAAGCTCAAAGAAATTTGAGATCAAAATGTAAAATGCTTGAATCACAATGTCAACAATTTGAAAGGATTCTTGATGGTGTTGACAATGATGGAGACGATGAAGTTATGATCTATGCAGAACCAATGAAATTAAAACGATGTGTTGGAATACAAATAGATATGCCATTTGTGAGTTTCAAATATTTTTATAACTTTTTCTGTAAAAATTATGATAACTTCCAATTTATATTAAGAAATTCACTGCTTTTGTAAAATTATCAAGTTACTAATTTTCTTGTAATTCGTTTTTAATCATTCAAAAAGTTTGTGCTACAAATAACTTTTTCTTGTTTAAATACTAGCAAAATATTGACTACTCAGAATTCAATAATAATGAAGAACAGGCTACAGAGGAGCAAAATATGCAGACAATGAGTTCTGAGACCGCTGTTCCGGAAGAGCAAATAATGCAAACAATGAGTTCTGATACCACTGTTCCAGAGGAGCAAATAATGCAAACAACGAGTTCTGATATTATTGCTCCGCAAAAGCAAACGATGCAAACATTGAGTTCTGATACTGTAGATAAGCACTCAGCTCCAAAAGCAACAGCTTCAAATTCAATTGTAAATCCAGTTAAACAACCTCATTCAAATTTCTCAGAGATATCATCACCTCAATTTGACAATAATAATAATACTGTAGAGAAGGTGGTTCGGGAAGAAACTACATCAGTAAATATTATAATTACTAAAACCTCTAAATGTATAAAGATAAAATTCATAAAGTGTGTTTGTTAAAATTTTAAAAATATCTCATCATGTATCATAAACTGTTGAAGCATTTGCTTTCAATTATAATTTTAAACTATATTGTTCTACTTGAACCTTCACTTGTTTTAGAAATACTCATCTACCGCACCAGTTTCAAAAATTGGAAAATTGGAAGAAATTCCTCCATCTCCAATTTTGAAAATTACCCAAGACGTTGAAAGTATGCATATATTTTAATTGTTAATAAAAAAATTTTTAATTCATATAATTAAATATTTATTTTGAACAATGTTTTTAGGTATTGCCTTGGCATGGAATTTAGATTTATCACCTTCTATTGCCAAAATAGCTTACTATGAATTATTTGTGTATCATGAGAAAGATCCGAAGTATAAAGATTGGAAAAAAATAGGTCATTTTGAAGCTTTACCCCTTCCAATGGGATGTACATTGTCTCAGGTAAAAATACAACAATTATAATTGATTTATTAAGTGTTAAATACGTAATTGTATTCTAATTATATTACAGATGGGTAAAGGCACTACATATTATTTTGCAGTACGAGCAGTTGATGTACACTCTAGAAGTGGACCTTTTAGTCGTGCAGTATCTACAATAATTTGCACTAAGAGCAACAAATGTTCATAGAAAAAATTGACTTGTTAGCGGTGTAGTATTACCTACTTTACTTTGCAGTAAGAGCAAAGTGGTTCATTTTAAAAATGGACCTTTTAGTCATGCAGTATCTTTACTATATAAAGTGTGATAATAATTTAGATCAATTGTTAAGACCTTAGTTTTTTCTGTAAATAATTTAAAAAGTAATATGAATGCAATAGTCAGCATAAATGCGCATTTTTGAAAAAGTTGTGTATATCTTTATATTTGTTGAACACACTTGTAAATGTATGAACTATTTTTTTAAAACAAAAAAGCTAAAATTTAATTAATTAATAGTATAGTTACAAAATCATGCGTGTTTTGAATACACCAGATTACAAAAGTATTGGATTATTAGTATTATTATCTTATATGCATTTACATGCATCGATCAAAACCCACTTGAATGACGCTTCACAAGTCCATTTAAAGGAGCAACCAGTTTGATAAATTAAACCTTTTCATGACCACGTTAAATCTAATAGCACAAAAGTTTATTCTATAAATTTTTTCATATCAATAATTTTCAGAATATTTTGTTCTGATTTCAAGTAATTTTAGACTTACTATATACAAAAATGCATGTGGACTTCCATTTCTGGTAGAACCTTAAATTGAAATAGTTTACTCCGTCTTAACATACTGGAATATGAAAATAGATTATAGCTAGCATGAATTTACGTTTAAATCATCAATTTTTGTGAGATATGAATTTTTTATTTCTTTGTACTTTAAATACATCTCAGGTTTCACAAATAAATATTAAATTCGATGAAGCCATATTAATTGACGTTGTTGTGGTTTAAATTGGTGTTGTAGTGGCTTAAAAGAAACAGTTGAGTCAGTAAGTAAAATGTATTCATAGATTTCATTTAAAAGTAAGAAATGTTTCATGCATTAGCTGATAAATTCATAATTGTTTATTAAAGAATTTTGTTTGAGCATAATTTTTGCAATAAAAATAAATGAGAAAATATAATGATGATTCGTATAATTATTGAAGCACATGGAAATAGAATTCAAAATGTCAATTATTTATTGTGTTTTCAATTAGATTTGTTGTGTAAAATATTATTTTCACTTAATGCATTGGGGAAGTAGTTGGATTTATGACAGAGGTAGGGTAATAGGAGTGGTCTGTAAAATGTAAAAAATCAAAGAAGTAGAACGATTGCAAAATAAGACGGGGTGCTGCCTGTACCAGCTTATGCTATCTCATTCTACTGGGGCCTTTCTCTTTCGCATTTTTTTTTAATTCGCACTGTACGCGAACGTTCTGGTCCACGCCTAGCTGGTAGAAAGCTTTCTGCACATATATGGTAGATTCTCAGTTAAATCGCTTGGGCAACGAAAGCTTTTTTCAGGAATAATATTTCTGACAATACTAGTTTCTCTGAAATTTGAAAGTATTTTCGGTTGATTTTGAAAAATATACGTGTCTTGAAATTTTGGACTACATTGAGAAAAATTGTCAAACTCTACTCGAAATATATTTTCTGAACGATAATTATTTTTCACAAAACTGCTACTTTTAGGACTAGGAAATAGTTATTACAAGGGTATTGTTAAAATGTATAAAATGTCATTTAAAGTCAATTGTTTCGCTCTAGTCAACATTTAATAGAGAATCAGTCACATACATGCATGTACACACGTGACACGACACGGCCAGATAAGACGCCCTTTTCTAAGCCTGAGTGTAAAACGCTCGTTCGCCTCTCGTGAAATGTCTCTTGAAAAGACAAAAAAACCCGCAGATACTGTTTAGAAAGAGAAAATGTATATGGTCAAGTGAAAATTGCCATTCATTTTTTTACACCGTCGATAAATACTGTCAGAATTAATTTGCGCGATAGATAATAGAAAGTGACAAGCGAGAAAATGTAATAAATTAAAGAGACTAAAAATTGCTACATGATCGTCAGAATAATCATTTTTGCGATTTCTGACTTACAACTTGTTTGCTTCATCGAATATCAGGCAAGAAAAAATGAATACAGATAAAAGTAAGTAATTTAATAGCCAAATTTTTGGCGCATTATCGTTAGTTAAATGTGTGAGCTTGATTGATGATTGACACCCACACGGCTCGTTGTTACGTGGAATGTTTTGCAGCTCCAGCCGATAGATAAAGTCTCGAGGCCTGTTCTTTGTAAAGCGCATCGATGCGCGCGTATATATCTGCAGTCGAGCTGGTCCGCATCGAAGCGCAAAAACTAAATCGATATTTATCCTCGAGTTGGCTCGCTCGATCGTCCGGAGCGCGTAAACTCACTCGAGCGATACATTATGCAATAATCGGCCGCGCTCTAAGAGCACGACACGAATATTTCACGAAGCGAGAAAATATCTCTGAGTCGATCAGCTGCATGTCCAGGATCGAAGCGTAATACCAAAATCCAATCGGCTGTTATGTGCGTCAACACAGTCGAGCATAAAAATGCGCATGGCGCGTACACACACTCGAAAAAGATACATAAAATTGTGCGCGCTCAGTGAAGCCAAACGAACCGAGTAACCGATCAGCCGTAGCGGCTGTATCACGCACATCCGCGACGCGGAGTCACTGCTCGAGTTGGGCTAATTACGCGCACAATGAAACGCTCGCGATCGTCCCGCATCGATCCACTGCGCTCGACTGCACCGATTAACGACTTCGTATCGAGTCCTCTTCGACTTTATATCCCATCAGAGTCTTCAGGATCGTTTCGGATTTTCCGATTTCGTGTTTTATATAAATTTGGAACGATGGCGAGCACAGGCAAGGCCGGCAAAAGGCAATTTTCCTTACGGAACTATGATCTAGTGCGAGTGGCTGGCGAGTCGCATTAGAGCCACTTTTGGATCAAATGGAAAGTTAGCAATTACGTACGTATTCGTAGGCGATAGCTGCAGAGCTCGCATGGCAGCTTTTAAATGTGTATCGCTGCAATTCATCGAGGCGCATACTTACCTAAGTGTATATATTTCAGCGACTAATGTCACAACTGTACAATGAACAACGAGATAGCGAGAGAGACAGAGAGAGTTTGTATTTTTCAGGCTGCACGTAAGCATATATAATATTGGCCACTCCCTCGACAAGTCCGTTCGGATTATTTATGCAAGCGTTGCGGTTGCGGATCGTTCGGCTGCAAAACTAACTTGTCAGTAGGATAGCGTGGCCGAGCTGGCCTGCTCTATCTCTCCACGAGCTCGCGCGCACATATTTGATTACATTGCCCAACCAAATTAATCACACCAGACTTGTTTTTTATTTTTATTATGCTTTTTTTTTTATTCTCGTCGTTTTGTTCGTTCCCGTTCTGCTGGTTTGCTGCTGCTGCCGCCGCCGCCGCGCCATATCGGTATTTTTTTTTATGGGCTTCGCGTCGCCTCAGCGAGACTTTTGCGCGCTCGATCGATATATCGTCCGATACGAAACATTACGCAGAGTTCGATTGCTCGCGCGATCAATGGGCGGTTTTTTTATTTTATAGCTCCGACATAATTTGATATTTCCATCGTGTGCGTACGAGAGCGAGCCGCTATACACACGATGTAAATCCGTGCCCACAGTCAATATCGCTGTGCGCGCAGCCGTCATTAAAAAATGAAACGTCGAAGAGTGACACGAAATGCCCGCGATTACACGCGCGGGGGGATTCGATTCCTCCCGCTGGAAATTCGAGAAGCCGAAGCGAGCGCGACATTACGGAGGGGGACGATGTAAAAAATAATAAAATCTCGCAACTCGTTCTTAATCTTGCACGCGCGCATAAAGCATATTATTCCATAAGTATCGACGATCGAGATGAAAGGCAAGTCGAAAAGCTCGCGGAACAGGCCAGTCGTTTCGAAAGTGTACATAAGCCGGTGTAAAGGTATGACGCAGAGGTAGTCGTTATGAGGCGACGAAGTGTCTTTAAAAAAAAAACGTTATTTTTTCACTTTATGCTTTTAGACAAAGATACACGGAGTGCGGAGCATATATACGAGCTCTCTCGAGGTCTTGCATCAGCTGAAAAAGTATCATGGATGTATAAAATATAAGTAGGTATAAGCGCGCGGGCCACAAGAAATGTACCATACACAGCCGCGGCCATAACAACAATGCTACTATTATGCTGTATTCTTGCTGCTGCTGCTGCTGCTACGTATGTACGCTGTGTGTATATAAAACTGAGGCTCGCGCGCGAATCGATACGCTTGAGGTTCGATAATGCGCTCGATAAGTGCGAGCCCAGAGATAAATCTCCCTTTATTTTGCTGCAGCTCGCTTATACAATGTATATGGGCGTATGTGTGCATGTGTTCGCGTTGGCTACTTTAGCCCATGGCCAGCAGCAGCTCTCGCTTATATGTATACGTGCCCTCTTTCGCTGCGGCTTACCTCCGCTGTATGCGCGATACGTATGAGGCGAGGCATAAATAGCGAGGAGGCACGTGTAGGTGTACTTCTGTATATATATGCGCGCAACAAAGAGACACAAAACAGCCCAATGGCTCCGCGCCGCAGCGATACATATATTGTGTGTGTGTGTGTGTAAGCTGCACGCTCGAGACAAGTCACAATATAGCCTGCGAGGGACCGTTGGGAGCCGCGATATCGCGTCGCATATCCGGACTCGTCGCGCCGACCCACCAGTCCTTTTCGCTTTAAATATTACCGAGCGCATTAAATTTACTCGCGCGCGTTGAATCACATTTTGAACGAATTAATAAATGAAAGCAACATTACCTCCATTCGCCCTCGACTATGCGAGCCACAAGTTAAATAAATGGGAGGCGAGCTTTATCATTAAATTAGAGGCACATCTCAAACTCGTTGATATTAGACGGATTATTGAAAAGCTCTTTGTCGTCGAACAATTTATGATCTGCGTGAATCGCCGAGCACACAATGAATGTGTAACAACGAAAATGGAGAAGCGCGAAAAGCAAGCTGCGTTCGGCTTTTATAGCTCGTATGGGCAGGAACGAGATCATTTTTAGTCCTTGTATATATGTATGTGTATATGCGTGTGCGAGTCTGTTTGTGTGTATCATAGCGTGCATCAGCAAAATATTGGCTCGAGGCAGGCAAAACCGGCTCATTCGCTGCCGCCACTTCGCTATAGATGTGATCGCACGCAAGTATTCCAGTCTCTCTCTCTCTCTCTCTCTCTCTCTCTCTCTCTCTCTCTCTCTCTCTCTCTCTCTCTCTCTCTCTCTCTTCTTTCTCTTCTTGGACCCAATAATAACTGTGGCTTTTTTATACATATACACGCTTTCATTTCTTTTATATATACCTACCTATGGTCTGACCACTCGGTTTATGTGCATTACATATTAAAATGCCCTGCGCTCGTGTGTATACGCGCCTAATGTTTTATGCTTCGTATATTGGCCGACTCACTGTGAAATCGAATTGCCAAAAAAATTTTTTTTCTCCTATCATGAAAATGTTGCTGTTTTTACTGTCATGAATGTCGTCAAATTTTATTTCAATTTTCGGGATCTTCTTTTTTCAGAGGCCTGAAATTGGCTTTTTTCAAAAATACATGGTTATTGCTGATAATAAAATTATTCAATTACAACAAATTTGAAACATGGAAATCTTGGAAAATTCAATTGAATGCTAGAGGGAAAGAAAGCGATATTGCCGTATATCCCCTCTGCAAAGAAAGTGCGGTATGAAGTACTTAATTAATGTCTTTAAATTCTTCTGTCACTGACAATATCACTTGAAACCATTTGGAAAACCGGCAGTGGAGCAGCTCTAAAGGTATTACATATTATTATTAGAAAAAGGTAAAAGCGATATCGGTGGTGCATGCAACGCTAAATTTATACACGTATCGAGTAGCTCGTTTAATTCTCGAGAAGTTGTACTTTTTTTTATCGCTGTTCAAATGATCCTTCCCCTGAATTGTTGTGAGTAACTCATGAGACTTCTCGAGTTATTTTCTTTTTCTCTAATTAGGTCTTAGTGCTTGCAAGCTCTCGCACACACATGAAAGCTTTGATTCCTTTATCCTCTCCCTCTCTCTCTGTCTTGAGAGTGTATTAACAACTTTTTCTCTTCTTCTCCACGTGCATACAGAACACCACGATATAGAGGATTTTGGGAGTAGGTAGAGGAGAGGAGGAAGTTGAAATGAAAAGAGTTAAAAAAAAGACAAGTGGTATACGTTTATGCTAACTGACTGTATTCACAAATTAAAAGTACAAAAAGAGATTGGATTTTTGTCCGATACATACGTACATGCTTACGTATAAAGGAATACGCATTTGTCAATCAAACGATGAAAATATGAAGATACAATTTTTATTCATGACTCGTGCACAAAATACAATGTAGAACAATTCGAGCTCGCATCAATTTAAGGAAATCAAAATCGTATGATTTAACAAGTATAAAGTAATCACATACACGCATAGTTTTCTTTTGTCAAGTATAATAAATTGATCTTCATTCGTTCACCAAGGCGAGGCTTAAAAAATAGGAGTCTATGTAAGCCTTTCGACAATGAGGGGTTTCACTGCGTGTTTTGTGTATTTTTTATAATAAAAAACCAGGTCGAATTAACATTAAACTATACAAGGTGTGAAAATAAAAGTACATCACATTATTATTTTGTACATCGACATACGAACGAACAGACACAGACAAGCACGCCCACATAAAAACAATGTAAATGACGCTGGAACTCATAAATACACACGACGGGGTTATTATCGAGCACAATTCCAAAAACGCGGGGATCGATCCCCATCGGTAGCGATCTCATTTCTTCAGTTTTTTTAGTTCCCCCTTTTGTACAGCCTACTTGTGCCACATGCGTTAACGCTTGTATCTAGATACAGTCAAGTTTGTTTCGCGCCGCAGCGCGTAATTGGTCGGATCATGATCGATTAGATTTCTAAGTCCTATATTCTAAGCTAGTTTTTATACATTCATTCACGTACACACGCACACACAGACATATAAATATAAATACACACACACACAAAATCGATGTAAATATGATATATATATCATAAGACACATTCATGCCGCTATACATAGTTCAAAATTATTCCTTATCTATATACTTCATTTAAAACACCTGCGCCTCTACTAGAGTCTTGAGTTGCAGTAGCAGTTGTCGGTAAGCTGTCCGCGAGTCTGACATTTGATGGTGTTAACGTAAAACGACATGCGTCTATCGGACATTGAGTTGGAAGGCGCCATTCTCGTTCCCGCGGACTCCAGCGGCAAGCTGTCGATCTGCAAGACCTGCGCCGGTGAACTATTGCGTGCTGTTGTTTCTTGGACTGGTGCGAGTACCGGGTCCCGCCAAGTGCTCCGAAGCGGGGTGGATTATCAGATCGATGGGTATTCTATCGCTGGGTACCTCGATCACCCGCGGTCCCGTCGACGAAGAAGTAGTCGTCTCGCTTGGGCCGAGTGCGGACGCAGCGTTCGACGGGCTCGAGGACCTGTTCGTCGGAGACGACGCGTTCCATGAAGTAGCCCTTGGGCTGCGTTGAAGCGTAGCCATGTTCAATCGACTCTCGGATGGAGTCGTGTTCGCTGCGAACAAGTTCTGTACGAACGTATTTCTGCCCGGGCTCGGGCTCGATGGAGAGCTCGTTGTACTCGAAGCCGATGTCGAAGAATCCTCGCTGCTCAAGTCTGTTTCAGGTTCACAGGCTGTTACAGCGTACGAAGTCGGCGACGGTCTGAAGCTATTTTTAATCTTCTGGAAGATCGACGTAGAGCTCCTACTCCTCAAGTTCGATGTCATTGGTTTGGCGGCGGATGGCGACAAACTCAGATTTCGGATCCGCGAGTTTTCAACATTTAACGCCTGCTTACCGGGCGACAGATAAGTCATTGGTTTGACGACGGATGGCGACAAACTCCGATTTCGGGTCAGCGAGTTTCTGACATTTAACGTCTGCTTGCCGGGCGACAAACTCAGATTTTGGGTCAGCGAGTTTTCGACGTTTAACGTCTGCTTACCGGGCGACAAACTCAGATTTTGGGTCAGCGAGTTTTCGACGTTTAACGCCTGCTTACCGGGCGACAGATAAGTCATTGATCTCGTGGGCGATGGCAAAAAGTTCAGATTTTGCATGAGCGAGATCATGTCTTTTTGCGCTTGTTTTATCGGTGACCTCATTGGACTCGTGGCCTCTATCGATCGATCGATATCGTGCGGAGCATTCGAGCTCATACCCGATTCGTGGCCTACGCTTTGACTCGGCGGCGTCAAAACGAACATCGGAGATACGAGACCTTTTGAGTAAAAATAATCGCGTTGAAAAATTACGTTAAATTTGAAAGAAAAGAAACAAAAGTACGAAATAACCTTTTGGCTGTGTGGGCGTAGACGGCGGGTCTATATGAATCGCGACTGGTGCCGGGAACGTCGCCCCGTTGCAGCAGTCACGGGAGCCGATGTACTTGGCCATCCGTCGCTTGTCGCAGTTCCACTCGAAGTGTCCCACCCGCTGGCAGGCGACGCACCAGTGCTCCTCCGAGCCGAAGTAGATGGTGTAAGGCCATCCGTCCTGCTTGCCCTTCATCTTGGCCGGGAACTTTGCCACGTCATCGGCCGCGACGTAGAGGTGACGCGCGAAGCCAAACACAGGGTTGCCGTTCGTTTGCTCGCCCGTCTTCAGGTAGACGATTTGCTTCACCTCTATATTGTGATGCATGGCCAGATATCTGCGGATGGTGTCGTCGGGGACGAAGGGCAATACGTCGGTCGCCAGTACTCGGACCAGCGGCTCCTGGGTCAGCGGCCTCATGAGCAGCGAGTGGTCGTCAATGGGGAGGATACGGCCGTGCTGGCTCTCGGCTTGCTTGGCGTCCGAGACGAACACGCAGACGCTCGCGGGCTGCAGCTCGTCGGCAATCAGTACCTTGGCCGGCTGAACGGCGTTCGCCACGCAGCTGATGTACCTGTCGAGTCCGAGCTGCGGCAGCTTGTCCAGGACGATGGCCTCGCGTGACGTGCAGACGCCGAACGGACCCTCGGAGCTCGGCAGGCCCTGACGGATCTTGTAGTCGGCCTGCCTGGGCGGTCTCTGATCGGTCGGATCGATTATTTGCGCCACGACGTCTGGCGCTTGGGACGACGTGGACTTCACCGTGTAGGTCCCGACGCTGCTGCTCGTCGACGCTAGATTCGTCTTGCTTGGGTCCATGTCTTTCGTTTTTAAAATACACTTTATGACGAGCCGGTCGAAAATAGATTTTCTCAGTCGAGATGCGAACTGAGCCAAAGACGAGCAGATACAGCGAGTTTATCCTATTTCTATAGTGATCGGTACGATGTAGGTAATAACATATTATTTAGTAAACATGAACAGCGAATGAAACCACCAAAACTACGTTATATGTTTATTTTTCAACTCGACTCGCAGGCCTCTCGCGATGCTAATAATTATGCCGCGTTATTCTATTAACTTTTAGAGGGCCGGGATTTTAATAGAAATCTGGTATAAAAGATACCTTATATCACTGATCGATCATGAGCAAAGTGTCGATCGGGGGATGCGTCAATGTATTAGCTTTCTGGCCTTCTAGAGGTTAACGAACAATTTTTATGCACACTCATGAATTTAACGATGTTTTTCAATTTTATTTTCGTTTTAATTCCGATCGTTAGGCTTTGTCGCACAAAACTCTCGTGCGTACATTGTCAAGTTAGGTTCATAGGTGTGTATTTCGGTGAACTTACCACTATAAAAAAAGTAAGTGAAAGTCAACCTCTACTTGAGTTCGATTTGAATAAGGCCAACTTTGAGATTTGGAAAACAATGGTCCTAAAAATTCAAATAAAATCTGAAGAAATATATGCCATGAATAACAACACGTTTTTCATGTTCAATTTCATATAGAACCTGCCATATATAGGCCAGCGCGTATTATTACAAGCTGAAAAGAAACGTGTCCTTTAAATTGTTATTTTGGAAGCGGTAATCGCTTGATCCTCTTTCTCCATCCTTTTATGCTGGCAAAGTCCTTGTTTAGAAACATCCTGCAGCTCGATTAGTACATCATATAGTAATTTATGCATCGGGTATTTACTGCAAAACGAAGGGTTAAACCGAGTTTGCATATTATATTTTATTTCATAGCGCAAGGGCATAATATAAGGAGCGGAAAGTGGCGACTTTTAGGTCATGAGTTTGCAAAAACTCAGCTTGCTCGGGTGAAAATCAGGATAAACCTTGAGTTATAATCTCTCGTTCGAGCTCATCACTGAGCAATCTGATAGCTCAAATCTCTGCAGTTTATTTGAGCGATAATATTGTTGAATATTTTCTGCGATAATAAAGCTTGAGTAAACAGAAGAATCAGTACATTGTAGCCGGCGCACCTATTTCAAAGTCCGTTTATTTTGATAGCTGCGATGCGCGTGCAAAGCTTCACGTGCTCAAATGTGCAATCCAAGCTTCGTACTATCATTTACTCATGACTAAATTACTATATTTGCTGAGCTGCACAAATATGCGTGTATAAGGCGATGCTTGCTTTTTTTCTTTTAATCAATTGTTGAAAACAAAGGAGGAATACAAAATCGAATTATATTTTCTTTCCATTTTTTTTTAAATTGATTTGATAAGTAAACAGCAATCACAATGTGTATCTGATTTTCGTCAGTATCAAAACTTTGAAAACAGCGTTTTAAAATATTTACAGAAAAAAGAAAAGGAGAATGGAGAAAGGGAAAGAATTATGAGCAAAAAAAAGAGCAAATAAGAAAGAAGAAAAGCAATCGTGCCTCGTGTGGCTTACAATGACGAAGTAGCAGTCGATCAAAAGAATGATAAGTCTGAGCGTTGTTGGCTCGTAGACCCGTTTATGCACGCGGAGCCCATAAGTATAGAGGCGCCGAAAAGTACGTGTCATCCCCCAACGCCCCCGAAAACCGAAGCCAAGATACCTGTTCCTTCGGACTGTCTGCAGCCGTGTGTTGTGTGTGTGTGTTTGAGTCTATGTATGTATACGAGATTATCCATATATGTATAGGCACGCCTCTCTCTTTCTCTATATATATCGTATGCTCTTTTGAGTTTCTTTCTTCTGGTCCTTTCTCTCGTTTTTTTTTTTTTTTTTTTTTTTTTATATCTGCATAATGCATGAACGCGCACGCTTCCGCGAGATCGTTAAAATTGGACTCTCGCTTCGAGAAATATGTAAAGGGGAATGAAGAGGAAAGACAGGCAAAGTAAAAAGGGCTTATACAAAATATTGGCCCCGAGCAGTGGCAGCAACGGCAGCAGCAGCAGCAGCGCGCACAGATTCAAAATCGCGAGTGGCCTTGTCATCGTTCGATGAATGTTAACCTTTTTGTTCTAAACGAGCCTCGAGCTCGGGCCCGCGCGCACTCGAGTACATGGATAAACAGCGACATCGGTGTACGAGTGTCGCGCGCGTAGCTCGGGGGGTGGCCCAAGCCTATATGGAATATATCGATGCATTAATAACCACTCGTTGATGTCACTCGTTTGCTGCACTCACTTGAAAACTGGTTTTCCAATGACAAGAGGCCCAGAGCACGGTATTATTTTACTCTTATTCGCCTGGAGTTATAAAGCTGAAATGCATTTTAATGCCTTATGAAATGTTAGCCTTCAATGCGGCCGCAGAGTTGGACTTTTTATGCGCATGTATATCTATATATGCGTAAGTAAAAACGCGCACAAGGCTCGCATCAGCGTTCGCCGGCCGCAGCAATGGCTTTGTTAGTTTTTCACCTTCTTTTTTGCTCTTTCTTTTCAACGGCGTACACGTGTTAAATGCATTCATTCAGCGCTAAAAGCTTTCAAGCATAAAAATGTTCAAAGTGTGCATTAAAATGCACACGAATTGCTCGAGTAGAAAGCACGTTAAAAACTTTCGGCTTTTTTTTTGTGCAGCTAATGACATTTTAATATACGAGCATTGATTGGAAAAATTCCGTAGTTGCAAAATTTGGCTATCGACGAGTCGTAGCTATTTAAAATTTAAACGACGCGTTATATACGCCGGTCGATCGGCAAAGCTCTTGTAACGCGTAAGGGATTTATTGCAGAAACGTCGCATCGGCGAGCTGCGCAAAGTATGCGTCGCAAAGCAATCCATCATAAGAAATTCAAGCGCGAGGATTCGACGGAGAATGAATTTAGCTGAAATGGAGCCGATAAACGAGTTGGTTTTGCTGGCGATCGCGGCATGGCGGCAGTACTGCTACATGGCACGTCTGTCTCGACTATATACGCGCTATAAAAGGAAATACTTGGACCGACGCAGCGAGGACGAGTCAGCCTCATTTGGTCAACGGAAATAAGAAGCACATCAAAGATCGAACTAGAAGAAGAAGAAGCAGAAGAAGAAGAAGGAAGAGAAGAGGCAAGAAACAAGAAGCAAGAAGCGAGGAGCAAGAGCAGAATCGAGAGCAAAAGAAGGAACAAGTTGAGTGGCAGCTTCGGGAGCAGGCCGGCAGAAAAACGACTGCAGCGAGAAGAGGAGAAAGCATCGGTCTCGAAACCGGTTGAATTATAATACGCGAACGGTCACCAAGCTCGCCCATGTATACACATACATGTATGTGCAGCTAACTATATATATATGCGCAGCACGCGCTGACTCACAGCCGCAGCGATGTATATTTCATGCAAGCGCGCATATAAATTGTGCACACACACGCCAACTGCAACTCGGAGCTGCTCTCTGAATATGCAGTACCAGCTCGAGCGAGCGCACCAAGCGCGTAAATCTGCACATGGATATGTGTGGCGCGTATCTCGCTCCATCTCGTTGCTACACTATACTATCTCTGTATGCGAGCGTATCCATGCGCTATGCACTTTGGTATATATATACGTATTGCGATACCAGAAGAGAAAGAGAGAGAGAGAGGAAGCGAAACTGCAGCCCCGCCCGATCTCTCCAGCGAGTACACGTATATATACATACTGTCGCGCATGCATAAACGATGAAGCCAAGAAAGCAATCTTCGCACCTCCTCGGCGACACCTCGGCTCGCTCTTGTCGAGGGGAAATCCGAGCGTATGGTCGTTTTGCTAGACCGAAAAGGTTGATTGGACTGCCCGGACGTCTACCTTTTACGTAAGGCCAATAAAGACGACCGCTGCACCGCTATCCGCGCGCCACGTATCCTATATTATATATACGTACACAGCCAGTCGATCTGCGCAGTTGCTCTCGCTGCCGAGGAGATATAGGAATCTGTGCCAATGCTTGGGCGAGAGCGACGCGTCGAGAATTCACGACGGCATTCCCGGCCCGAGCACAATCTCGTAATTCATCAAAAAAGCAAACAAATCCAACAGCTCGTGTATAAACGAGTAAATAGTTGTCGCGCACGCGACCAAAATCGAGCAGTCTTGAGATTACTCCGTTTTCTCTCGGGTTTGGTCGTATGTACATACTCGCCAGATACGGATTATTTACTCTATTCAATACTTCTTTCTCGTGCGCGTAAAAAAACCTAGAAACAAAAAAGTAAATGCACCAACTATTGACGAAAATTCTCTAGAGTCTAAGGACGAGTGAACGCGTATACTAGCCAAATTTTAGACCAGGCATATGACATTTTTCAATAGGTTGGCTCAACGCGTCGTAAAACTTGTTAAATGAATTAAAAGCGTCAGACAACACTCGGATAGGAGTTTTTTTGAAAATCGTTTCAATTAGTAATAAATTCAGCAATTTATTTTACTGACAAACTTAAGATTTCTTCGATTGATCCAGCTGTCCACTCTCGTTGGATTGATTCCAACAATTTTCTTCGATGTTTTTCGAGACCCCGTACAAAAATTCTTTTATATAATTGTAAGTTTCTGTTTAAATTTACGAACTAATATAATACTATACTTTCATCAGTAAAAATAAGTTACTTTTTTACTCCAAAGGTTTCCCAACGGTTTACAAGAATCATGCGAATAAATGCTCAATATAAAATATGGAAAATATATTGCGTGCTTGTTCGCCTAGACAATGCCCAATTAAAATACTGCGATGCAACAGTACAAGTCAGTGCACTTGCGTAAAACCGGTGCGTGTATAGTCGAACGTAACTTGGCATATTATAAGGATGAGGTATTATAAAAATATACAGCTTATAGCTTTGGGAATGCCCGACACACCTGTAGTATAAAGGTTGGCAAAAGTGAGTCTGTTCCCCTGAGGTGACTAGAGTCTTTCACAAATTACACAAAAACACGAAAGTCTTCTCCACATTAAAATGTGCTTACAGCGTCCGCAGACGCTGAATATGTATGAATTGTAGCATCGGAACAAGACAATAGCTTAGTCTCAAAGATTCC